CAGTTCTAGTTGCTCTTTTGCAATTCTGGAAAGTTGGAATTTTTGCTGAAGGAGCTCTCTCCTTTTCTTTCTCTATATGCAAGCATCTTCCCGGTATAACTTATCATAGGAGGGAGTAAGAAATTTCCATTTGTTCTAACGTCGTTAATGAAGGAAGATGGAAGCTGGCAATAAAATATCACGCGTTTTCAATGACCGCAGGTTATACTAAATCTAGCAAAACAGGAGATGTAATCAAGGAAAACATATTTTTGTTACTGCAGTAGCATTTTCTATCCAATGCCTTAAGCTATCTTCTCGGAAGCATATTAAAATTTTACAACCTCGCCAGCGCATTTTACGCTTCAGATAAGGCGAGCTGCATTTTGTATTCCCACCTTAAATGCTGAGAAAGGTCAATATAAGATAAACATTCGTCAAAATATGTTACAGAAATTTATTCAGACGGAATTCTCGCAAATAAAACACATTTCTCTCTATCGAATCTTTCGGGAATTGAGGCGGAAGAGTTTCATCTTTTCTTAATTTATATAATTTAATTCCGGGTTATACGCGCTCGTTATATCGAAGTGCCTCTTCTATTCCCCCGTTAGAACGACCTTAGCGTCGTTAGATTATGTTTCTGCTATTAAATAGCCATTAGATGTTGTATAGTTTATCAAACTAAGAATGCTACCGCAGTAATAAATCTTCCATCTTGTCAACTAACGTGTATAAGTTACGTGCGTGTTTGTGCGTGATTTCTTATAAAGTAGTGTGACGTGTGACTGGCGTGTTAACTTGGAGTTTTATTTGTTGTTATGCCCCTTGTGCCGTAGAGTTGATATCGCATGTGCATCTTCAGCCCGAAAACAAGTTCGGAATTTTTGTTGAAGGTGTTGAGATGATTTATTATTCTCCTGTTCCTTGGCTCCGTACCAAAATTTTTATGCCCTACTTTCGCTTGGAGAAAGGGAAAAGTTTTAGATTTTAGTTGGGATGGAGCTACGTTTATCCGGGTCAGATACTAACCCAATAAAAAAAGTTTGAAGCCAATACAATAAAAGATGAAAACGTATTCCTTTTTAAATGCCATTATGGTAACATTCGATGAAGATAAGGCGTTTGGAAGTAACCTGAAGTGGAAAGAAGAATAAAATGGGGTCAGGATGATATCAAACAGTTCAAAGTGTTTCAGATTCAATAGTGCGATAACACTAAAACACTGCTGCATTAAACAAATTTATTATTGTACTAGTAACAGAGAAATAATAGCTAAGTGTTACTATAGTGCAATTATTTTCCATGTTGTGTTATTTATAACAAAGAGAAAGTATAGTGATGGGTCAAGAATGATCCCCCAAATTTTTACATTTTTGGACTCGAGGATCTTGAAACGTCAAGAAATGCAAAAATATTCGAGTTTTTCCTGAATGTATGGATGTTTGTGTGTGGAGGGGGCACGATTTTGTTCACTTTCTTTGAAGCTTAAAAACCCCTGTGTTTTTTGTCGAAAATTTCTGAAATTTTGCAAGGAGATTTGTATATTAGGGGGATTGATGCTATTAAAGTTTGATGGTTAAAGGTAGATAGGATGGGAGATAAAGGGGGATTGTCGTATCTCCAATAGGGTCGGACTTATGACGATTTTACTAGTTATTAGCATTTACAATTTTTTTATATATATAAAACCCATCCCTACCCTGAAAATTAAGCTTTTTGGCATTTTATAATAGCTAAAAATATGAAAAGTTTTTAATAAAATATCATAACAGATGGCACAATGCGCAGTTTTAAATGCTGCCTGGAAAGTTAAGCAACTTGTTGCTAGATTTTTTAATATTCTTATTGAATCAATATTAAGTTCGCGACGTAAAGAATGTTTTCCACGGTTCTCATTATTTATTTTAATACGTTATTACTATAGCAATAAATTGTAACAATAATAAGACAGAATGTATAAAACTTATACACTTGAAACAGTAGTTAAATTAGAAGCTACAGCCCCAAAAATGCCGAGTGAGAATTGCAAAAATAGTATCAAATTAGTCCTTACTAATGCTTGTTTATTTACTGAATTTACTACATTATATCTTATACTAAACTTGTTATATCTTGTATAGTTGTTATACCAATATTATGAGAGAAGTTAGTTGATGGAATTTAAAGTACATCCATTTTTTTCTTCTATAACAAAGAACTTTTGTAACTTAGCAGCATCTAATTGAAGATTGACGAAAATTGAAAGTCAGATTAAATTTGGAGAAATGGCAATCTGCATCAATTTTCATCCGGATAGTGTGGAGACGAAAGCTGTTATATGCACTCGAACCCCGTCGTCTACGCTTCTCCTTTTTATATTCAGCGATAAACATCTCTCTCCTAGGTTATAATTCCATTACTAATAATTTTATTTGATCACATAAAATTGCCAAAACTAATAAAATCAACCGATTTAGAAATCTCTTTTCCCTTCCTCCAGAATAATACTCCAGAAAAGAAGGAAAAAAAAAATAAATAAAAAGGGGGGATTGAATTTAACGCTCCAGATGCTACTATCGTAACAAGACGCGTCATTTGTATCCCGCATGTCTAATTTTAATGGAATCATCCTTTTTCCAAACTGCAAAAGATCAAAACAAAAAGAAACAGAAACTAATTAACTGATTTTTTCCTTACTTTTCTTCCTCTTCTTGCTGCTACAATATATTATTTTATTTTATTTTATTTTTGCGCTGGGGAATGGAATTTATAATGGATTTCGAATTCGTTCGTCATTTTTATTGAATTACTGTAGTAGCATTGTCTAGCAGCATCCGAGAAAGAAATAAATCGCCTGTCATCCGACTACTTCACGCGCTTTGAAGCGTGCTGCTTTGCTTACGTGGCTTCCTGCGCTTCCTGGGTAGTATCACCGCGTTAAGATCCGCATTTGGGGGTTTTTAGAGGTGTTTTGCTTCGTTTCCCCCAAAAAACTTGCGACTCCTGATGGATTTCTAGAGGGGAGCGAATGGCAATAATTCAAAAAATGGACTGAAAAGGGTTATTTGGGTGGATAAAGTGACGACGTTTAAATGGACGTTTTTTACCGTGGGGGGCTTTTTTACGCCATCTTGTCGTGTTTTTATTGGATATTCTATTTGACTGATGTCATACGACGAAGGGTGAGCGTGATTGATGTATTTTTTTTTTATACGTTTAAAACAGAGTAACGTTGATAGATATAGATTTTCAAATTGGGCGGAGGCTAATTTCACATCTCTGAATCGACCCACGCAAAAATTGCACGGGTTTACAGGACCATTTTGCAAGATCAAACCAGAATGGTACTGTAAAATAAAGTTTTACATTTATTCTATTTACGAGTTATGATTAGGGTGAAAGATAGTCATGGTATGCGATGGGGAGACATATTTATGAACTCATTTCTCGTCCTAGGGAGAAAATTTATCTTTATCTTAGAGATAGGAACTTCTCGTGCTATCTGCTACGTGCTTTTTCCCGATATTCTGTTTGAGTAATGCCATGCGAGTGAGAGATTTGAACAAGATTGATGCATCTCTTGACGTCTGAGTACAGAAACATTGGTAAAAACGGTTCTTAAATAGCAATTAAAGCTAATTTATGTTTATTATCTCGATCATGGTTATAATTGTAACCAAGAAAGGATATTTTAAAGAGCTTTATTTACTACTAAAAATCGCGCAGAATCAACCTACTTTAACTCATACTTTAACCCATACTACTGCTGTTCGACTCAGTGAGAGATAGCCACTTTCCACACTCTCATCTTTTGTCTAGGAGAGAGAATTTACCTTAATCCTGAATAGAAAAAGCTCTTATGCGCTCCTAAATCAGTATATATCACAACATTATCCACAGCGATGCCACGATGCTATTATAGGAATATATTTGCTACTTGAACCACCTTGTTTTTTTATTCAGTCGTCAACAACAACGTTTTATTTACCAAAGGATTTTATGCAAAATAAACGAGTCACTTACCGAAAAAAACCCGAAAAATATTTCCCAGAAACCGGGGAAAAAATCTCATTTACAAAATGAGGTAAACAAAATCACGAATCACTTTAATAAATTTACATCCTTTATCGGGTGGCGTTTTTGTGTAATGGAAAAATGTCTTTCCGATATCTTTATGTCCAAATAAATTAAAAATTTTGAAAGGAGGTTATTTTATAGTCTACTAATTTTAATAACGTATGATCTCGATAAACCTTTGGCCTCGCTTTAAGGAAAATTTGGCAATAAATATCTCTAAAAAACAAGAAAAAAACCTTTCCTATTGGCTACCATTTGGACTTTTATAATGGAAAATCTTATGAGAAACGTTCACTCTACCAGAAATCCGTTTGGCATCGAACGGAAGTTCTCTAGCACTTGTGTTACTCGGAACGGAAGTAAAGTGCTGCTTGTCATCCTACTGTTTTTTCTTTTTTCGTCATTTAGTTCAAACCTAAACAACCTTAACTAGATACGTTATCCGTCTCGCATCCTTTTCCCTTCCAGTTAAGACATAATGGAATGGTATAAAGCATCACGTGACAAGTTGCACTTACCAAAATAATCACTTTTTATCATCGCATCTAGCAACTTAAGCAACGTTCTTTTTTTTCTATCGATAAAAGTATGGAATAAATGGAAGTAAAGAAAAGAGATGGTGAAGGGAAGAGGATAAACAATGGTGATGAGAAAGGTAAAAGATGTATATACGGCGGTCGACACTTTATCCTTCAAATTTACGAGTGAAGCGGTGGTAAATTTACTATATCCAACATTCTTGGACTTATGCCAAACACTTTACTTTTACGACGGCGGAAAATAGCCAGAAATTTACTATTTTGACGTCGGAGTTGACAAGAAACCAACCATTTTCTACTTTATTAATACGTTTGGCCAAATGGGTCTAATGAAAATTCGAGTCGAAGCTTGTAATCGTATTTCTTCCTCATTTTTAAGACCCTCTTCCAACTTTAATGGCACTTGATTAATTTAAAACTCACCCCCTATTGGTAGAGCCTTGGGTAATACAGCCTCATCGTCGGTGCGACCGTCGTCCAAGTCCAGAGTTAAGAAGTGATCTTCGTCATCTTCCAAAAATGGGCTCCCTTCTCGGCTGTGTCGTGACTGAAAATATGAAAAAACCATTTCAATAAAAATATTTGAAACAAAAAGATAAACGAGAGTTTAAAGATACATTTTCTTACTTTAATCATCTGCTAATAAACTTAACTTAACCTTATAAAAAATATATATATTTTTTAAACAAAAAGTAAGTATTAATTGTCAAAATTAAATTTTATTCAATGATTGCTAATAATAATTAAAAATCGATTAAAATTAAAACAGAAATTGATGCTACGTTTAAATTGTAATGAGTCCATTTCATTGCAATTGATGACGTCAATTATCAGTTAATTGTACTTAATAGCTTAATGATAATTAATTTCAAACATTAAAAATTAAATGAAATAAAAAGTTGTCAAACTTAAAGTACTGTTTAATTTTAAATAAAATTAAAAATACAGGATTTTAAGAAATTTAATTTTAAATTTAAAGTGAATAAACTTTTAATATTTCTCAAGCTACTAAATAATCACACTAATTAGAATTAACACTAAATAAATAAACAAATTAATTACAATTAAATATTATTTCTAATTCATAATTAATTTCGCTACAATATTCATCAGTTTCTCATTTAAAATAATTGCGATTAACAGGAGAATTTCCGTCAATTTTAAACAATAAAAAAATAATAATAAAAAGAAAAGAATGAAATTAGAAAAATCCAAGTTGGAAGAATAAACAAAAATTTATCAAATTTAAATCCAAAAGCGTGCTGCTTAATTCTAATTAGGCACCGTAAACCTTAGGAAATTGGACATTTATACTGAAAATGTTATCCAAAGTCGATGCCTTTAAAATTCTAGGACCATAAACGAGATCTAATTTAGAGAAATTAATACGTTAAAATGACTATTAAGATGAGAAAACAAATTCAATGTCGCCTGGCCAGCTGAAGCAGTGCTTAATATTCATAGAACGATATTGTTGCAAGGTTTTCGTGAGGAAGGAAGCTAGTTGCGTGACTCCACATCCGAACGTGCGAGCGTCACGATTTTCTGCACACACACACACAAACACACAGACACACACATCCTATTTTATACACCATACAAAAATCGGATTTTTGAGAAGATATAAAAGTAAAGAATAATTTTCTAATGTAAAATTGAAACGGAATTCTTTTTTTATTTTCATTTTTTTTTTCTGCGTGTTGTACTCGCTCCAACGTGTTGCAGATTGGAGAGTTTTCTTATTTTGCGTACGTTTATACGCGAAGACCAAACAAATTTCTAATGCATTACATGCTTTTCTGTTATTTCGATTCTTATATCTGTATAAAAAATAAATAAATAAATAAATAAAGGAATTATTTATATAAAAAGTAAAAAATTTAAAAAGCTTTTCGGTATTTTATATCCTTTTTTTTAAATAAAAAAAATTTCAAATTGATGTTTAGAAATTTATTATAAAATTCTGTACCATAAATTACTTAAATTTTAAATTTAAAAACAAATATATATATATAAGGTCATTAATAATATATGATTAAAACGAAAATTATATTTTAAAAATTCACGAGTTTGTTTAGTATTTTTTTTTAAGTAAAAAATATATGAAAAAATTATTAAATATTCTCCTAAATTTAAATTAATGTAATTTAGAATATTAATCATCATCGTCGCCATTTATATCTGTATATAAATTGATATTAAGTCATTTTTAATGTCGTTTACAAGTTAAATATTAGATAAGTGGGAAATTAACAAAAAACTTTATTAAATGGTAACAAATATTAATTTTAATTAGTAAGATAATTAAGTTCCAGCTATTAACGATGATATTAAAAATATATTTTTTTTAAAAAAATTAAGTTTATAATTAATTATATTTTCTTTTTTTAATTGAATTTTAATTTTTATTACCTTTTTATACGGAATATTGCTTTACATTAAGTCTGAAAAGTAGTGCATGAAAACGTATCTAATAATTTTGGCTTATAAAAAAAATTGCTATTAATTCTTTAAAACTGCAAGATTATTATTAAATCTTGTGCTTTAAAATTTAAAGAAAAATAGCTATATTTTATGAATTAAAATTTCTTATAAATTTAATGAAAAGTTTCATTAATTTATTCCAGTTTATTAGATTCTGTAAAGTNTAAAACGTAAAAAAAAAAGTTAATTACAATTATTTATATATTTAATTGCAATTAAACTTAAATAATTGTAATTAACATAGTGAAATTGATAAAAATAGAATTCTGAATTATCATCCATTTCCTATCATCAATTACAACAATGCGATAACACGTGATGATGATAATTCATCAATTTCTATACGTTATCAGTTTCATAGTTAATTGTAATTATCAAATAATTAATTACAATTAAATTTTTTAATAAATAATTTTATGTAATAATTGAAATTAAAATAATGATAATAATAATAATTTATTAAGTACAACATTTGATTCGCGTTATTCTTTCTTGAATTTTAAATCAATTTAGAATTTTTAGACAAGTCTTTTTATATACTTGAATGAATTATTTACATAAAAATGAAATAGGAAAAGCCTTATAGAATTTTTACGGCTCAGAAATATAGTAGAAAAAAGGACATAAAAATAGGAAGTTTTCTATTTTTATAAGAGTGAATACTCACAAATCAAAAATCATTCTTCAAATTCTCAGACCTTTTGACTCTACCGAGAGTAAATAATACACAAAAATCATACAAAAATCGAAATAGGAATTGAACTTCCAGATTGGATCAGGAATATTTTCTTATATATATACGTAGTGTATATATATATATATATATAAAATTTATTTTTTTTTTCTTCAGCCAATCGATTATCATTCGAGTAATACGGTTCACATGTAAGAAGAAGGGGGAAGAAAAAGAAAAAAGTATAAAGGATATTCGTTCGAATTCTTGAATGAAATCATGTCAAATTGCAATTGTAAAAGGGCAAGGGGTCCATTATAGGTTGATTTTCTGTGTCCTTCGATAGATGTCAAATTCGTCGAACTGGTTTTTTGGTTTCCTATTATTTTCTTTCCTGTGACACGAGTCCATCTTGGACATGGTACGCTTTACTTCTCCGGTGAACCCGAAATGCTTCGGATGCGGAAGAAAAATCGATCCCAATCACGTGACCCGAGTCTAGCGTTGAAGTTCCCCTTTACTATTCTACAACTGAATGGCAACTGGTCAATTTATCCGAAGAAAAATGACAGGGAGAAAAGATCAAAACTCCGATATCGGTTCCTCTATAGTAGCATTCTACTATTATTCAGAGATGCTTAAGTAGTAAAAACTTAGCTGCTACTTTTTTTTTTTTTTTTTATCATCTTTCAGCCTAGCTGATAATTCAAAAAGAAAGGCAAGGAATAGTCTAGCGTGTAGAAAAATCACGTAACAATATGAAATGCACTAAAATAGTACAAAATTAACCCTAATGACTTGTAAATTTTCTGTAAAACACGAATAAATTTTTCCATAAATTAAGTAAAAATTTATAATTAAAAAACAATTTCAGAAAGATTTTTATTACTGAAGCTTACTTCCTTTCTGGAAAAGTCCTTTAAGTCAATCAAGTCTGAGGATTATCACTTATATTTTTTATTCATTTCACTTATAAGGATGCAGATCAAACTTATCTTCAGTCTCTAACTTACTTTTTTTCGTATTTATTTATTTATTTTATTTCTTTCTCAATCGAAATAGTAGAAGATAAACTTGAACAAGAGTACCTTGGAGATTTCTGCCTTAATTGTTTCCAGTAATCCTCTTGTTTGCTGGTTGTGATGTGTGTCGCATTTTGTTAAGTCCTCGTTCATGCTTCACTTTACTACTTTTTTATTATTATTATTGCTAAAGTCAGCAATTAATGAGGAGTTTAAAATATTTTCAAATTATTATCATCATTGAGTGAATTTCTTATTTCAAAAGCATTTACATAACTATAATTTTTTTAAATTCCTGTCATTATATTAGATTTTTATTAAAATTATATTATAAAACTTTGTTTATTTGATTTTTAATAAATTCATTATGAAGTATATCTATGTAAAAAATGTAATTTAGTAGCTCTGTAAGGACTACTAAATTACATCGAACTAATTTATTCGAAAGAATTGAAATTATACAATTAAATTTATTCTTGAAAAATTTTTAGAAACTTTCTCAAGAAGTAATGAAACCTGTAATTTTTCTAGAACTTTTCTAAAAATAGATTTTTTTCTGGAACTGTTGAACTAGAGAGAGTGTAGAAATTTTTATAGAATTTTTTAATATTCTAGATTTATCACTCTACAAATAATATCTAATTTTAATTTAGATCATCACATTCTGAAAAATAAAATGTAAAATATTTCTAAAAGTTTCAGAAAATTTTTTGATATTCACAGAAATTTATAAAAAATTTAATTTTTAATTATTTAAATTTTAAAAGACGTCTGACACTAAATTCATAAATATTTCTAGAATATACATATTTTTCCATAAAAAAAAAATTAGTACCAAAACTCACCACTATGGCTCTTTTGGCACTATAAGCGAGAAAAAAAAGTTTCCTTCGCACAAGCGCATGTATTGTAGCCAAGTTCTGAATATAAAATTGGCCACAACACAAAATCTTCAACTTTTCAGGCTTCTAGAATATGAACTAAATTAAGTAAATCTAGAAAAATATATTCTTGATTCAAGGTCATATTCTAGAAACTGTAGTAAAGAATGAACATTTCAAAAGAATTCTGGAAGATTTTATAAAATATATTTTATAAATTTTTTGCAATATTTTTAGAATTTTTTAAATTTTATTCTAGAAAAATTCTAGAAGAAAATTATATAAATTTGTGCATTTCCATAATAAAATATATTAATGTTTGTCATTCATTTATTNATTTTTAAAATGAATTAATTAAATTTGAAATAAATAATAAATTTAATTAGATATTATAGAATTTTATTTTATTTTATTATTCATAAACAACATTTCCAAGACAAAACACGGTTTTATTATTATTATTATTTTTTTATTTGTTCTTAATTTA